CGAGGCCAGGTGCAGGTGCGAGGCCAGGTGCAGGTGCAAGGCCAGGTGCAGGTGTGAGGCCAGGTGCAGGTGGTGATAGCATGTGCAGCACTGCATCCACAATGATAGGAGAAAATAGGGAGGGTCTAGGAAGCCTCAGAAAGCAGCCTCCCCCCCCTCTCTGGGCTGCAGCAGAAACTCAAGGCCACATGGATGGCGATGGCCACTTTCCAGTGGTACCAGCAGGTTCAGCCAGCCTTTGCTCCACTGGTAGTCACCAGAAGCCTCTCTTCTGCCCACAGCCTCCTCAATGCCAACAAGATCAACTGCCTGCGGGTGAACACTTTCCAGGACCTACAGAACCTCAATCTGCTCTCTCTGTATGACAACAAGTTGCAGACTATCAGCAAAGGGCTCTTCACTCCACTGCAGTCCATCCAGACCCTGTGAGTGTACACTGCCCTGGCAGTGGCAGACCCCTCCCACCAAAACAAAGGCGGGCTGTGGGAGGATTTCTAGCGTTCGTAGCAGGGCTGGGAGATGAAGCTCAAAGCACTTAACTGTACCAAGCATGCAGGGTTGGTACCACTGAGGCCTGACTGTGACAAGGTTTATCTCACTTTCAAACATGTAAGCCTCACAGCACAACCCAGGAGGATGCTACTATCACCCCCAGATTTTATGTGAGGAATCCGAGGCACTGAGAGATTGAATAGTTCACTCAAGATCACAGCTAGAGGTCTTGAGATGGGGGCTGGAGAGGTGGCTCAGCAGGTAAGAGCACTGGGTATTCTTCCAGAGGTTCTGAGTTCAATTCCCAGCAACTACAGGATGGCTCACAACCATCTATACTGGGATCTGATGCCTTATCCTGACGTGCATGAAGACACAGATAGGCAGACAGACAGACAGACAGACAGACTGACTGACTGACTGATTGATTGATTGATTTAAAAATACAGCTAGTGTGAAGCAGGATTCTGGCAGAACTTGCAAGCTAGGCTCATAACCACAGTAGCCATGGTAGTGTGCTAAGCATCCTCTATCTCTGTGAGAACCCATCCCCTCCCATTGGCAGCTTTCCACACCCTGCAAAGCCAAGCCTTTAATACAGGCTTTCTGGGGATGCCTTATACACACACCCAACCCTTACTTCCCAAATACGTGTGTAAGTCCTGCAGGTAAGCAGATCACTTGAGTGCATATCCCACTCAAGTCTGTGGTCTTCACAGTTCCAGCCACCAATTTCAGTGCCAGCCCCAGGCCTGCAATGATCCTGGGGGTCTTCTGGAGACCCTGGAAGTCATCTGGCACTTATTTCCTGAGTAGTGAGAGGCAGGAACCAATATAGAGTGAGAACAGCTGCGTGGTATTGAGTGCTGACCACGTGTGAAGCTCCGTGCTTAGTGCTTCGGAGGTGATCTTACTGCGCAGAAGAGGCAAGGCTCTTGCCACTCCCGTGATGATAAGGACAATGGCAACAATACCCACTACTCTATGTGGAACACCCACCATAAGCCTGTTGCCATGCCAGCTGCTTTATATGCCTGGTATCACCAAGCTCGGAGAAATAAAATGCATGTTACTGTAAGTGTAAACTCTAAAGCTCTCAGCTTGCACTGCCCATCAGATTCCCGCACGGGTGAGGTAGAGCCAGACAGCAATGGGTCCTGCCTGAGAGGGGAGAACTAGGAAGCTGATTCCCTAGACCAGATGTTGGCTGCATCTGTGCTGCCTTTAGCAGACAGCTGGCTGCAGACCTTTCCTTTGAATCCTCTCTGAAAGTGGCATCCCCTGCCTCCCGCCCCTCCACACCTCCTGGGACAGTGAAGAAAGGACCTCACACCAGTTTGCTAGGGCCCAGCACAAGACAGGGTGGTAGTGAAGCAAGGTGCCACAGGTCACTCCGGATTAACAGGTCTGTCCCTCTTTCAGCCACTTAGCTCAAAACCCATTTGTTTGCGACTGCCACTTGAAGTGGTTGGCTGACTACCTCCAGGACAACCCTATTGAGACAAGTGGGGCCCGCTGCAGCAGCCCACGCCGGCTGGCCAACAAGCGCATCAGCCAGATCAAAAGCAAGAAGTTCCGCTGCTCAGGTAATCAGGTTATGGGAGTGGGGGGGGGGGGACCCACTTTCTGACTCAGAGTACAGCAGCCCCAGAGAGGCCAATAATCCAATCTGGAGGACAGCGAGCGCTGTAATGGCTCCTGGGGAGCATCTTTGCAAATTAAATTGGGGAAATTCAGTTAGTCCTACAGAAAACCAATTACCTTATGGATTTAAAATAAAACACACTCACACAATAAAAGCATGGGGGAGGGGTGGGCAGCTTAGGAGAAACAGAACCCAGACACAGTTGTTCCTCCTAGACCTGGGGGGGAGCTGGGCAGCCTTCGCACATGTGCACTTGAGAGGACACCAAGATTTATTTTGGAGTCTCAGAAGCAGATTCCCCAAATGATACAGAAATAAATGCAGCCCAAGCTGGGCTGCAGCCAGGCTTTGGTCACAGCCCTCCGCCATAATAGGTTAGGTTGCAGGTTTCACAAACACCTTCCCCATCTCCTTGAAGCAGATAGCTATTCTCTGATGATAGAGAGAACAGCAGACTGGGAAGAAGCAAAACTTGTGCTCCTGTGCCCAGCTCTGTCTAGAGACTGTGTTTTGCCAACACTCACCCAGGAAGGACATAAGACAAGTGACAAGAGACTTCTTCATTCCACCTTGGAAAAAAGGTGGTCTCCTTCACCAATGGCTTACATGAGCTAGCAACTGGACATCATTATCACTTTTTCTGTTTTTCTATGATAAACAGACAGCAGGAGGTACTGAGATAGAATGAGCCAACCCTGACAAGTGTGTATCTCAGCAAGAACCGTGCTCCCACCCACCTGAGGGAGTGCTCAGTCAGTATGTTTTCTCAGGAACAATGCTGGCAATGGGGGCTGGTCATCAGCAGACCAGAAGACAAATTTGGGCTTTCTTGTACCATGTTCTTTATCCCTTAAGTCAAATTCTGTAATGTGTGTCACCAGGATGATACACTTGAGATTTTTATCTTCTTTTACCTGCAGAAGCAAATACCAGGAGAGGGTGTAGATGCAGGGACTTGGTGGTTGTACAAACTCTCGTCACCAATTTGCCTTTTCTGGCATAGTGGTATCAGTGAGCAGACAGTTTTTGCCTGTGAGGAGCACTATCCTGAGTGCTCCCAGTTTGATTTGCTTCTTCTAGTAGCCACTTGGAGTCATCAGGTGAGACCCCACTCTATAGCAAAGAGAGCTGAGGGCTCCAAGGGGAAGGGTCAGCCTTATATCACAGTCAGTAAGGAGTAATGAAGCTTGGGCTGGGTAACTGCTCTGTTAATCTAGGACAGCAGCTGGTCCAACTACTTGAATTGCTTTCTTCCTAGTCTCCACTTGTAACTCCCAAATATTTTTTCCTTAGATTCCTCCCTGAGTCTGGGAACACCTCTGGATAGAAAGTCTAACCCTCAGCACCAAGTGTCATCTATAGCACACCATCCCTTTCCAGTGCTACTACTACCCTCAGCATTTCCCTTCTTTCTTCTCTGCCTACTTGGGGCCAAGTTAGTTAGCTTGGCCAGTCAATGATTCCCATAGGAAGGGTTGATGAAGTCAGAGTAGGGCAGAGAGCCTCCTGCCATCCTTGACCTTTAGACTCATGAGTGTCCTGCCAACACCCCGGACCTCAGAGTGAGTCTAAACCCTGAATGACAGTGGAGGGACAGAGTCAACACTGGATCCAATGGCTCATGCCCTGTAGTCTCCCTGTCATGGCAGTGACCTAGCATTGACTGAGGCTGGGACAAGTAACAAGGTATGGGTGATGTATACAGAAAGAACAAAGAGCGGGGAACACAAAGTAGACAGCAAAGCTAGGCAACAATTAAGCTAGTTTTGACTCTAGCTGGGCCAATGTCTACCTGCCTACCTTGGTGTTTACAGGTTCCTGGCTTCTTATGAGGGGGCAGAAATGTGTGAAAGGAAGGAAGGAAGGAAGAAATGAAGGAAGGAGGGAGGGAGGGAGGGAGGGAGGGAGGGAAGGAAGGAAGGAAGGAAGGAAGGAAGGAAGGAAGGAAGGAAGGAAGGAAGGAAGGGACAGAAGTCTTGAATTGACTTTGTGTAAAATGTCATTTAGAAACAGATACCAAGTAGAAAGCCTGTTGGTGCAGAGGTAGCGATGCTCAGAGCCCAAGTGAGCTTAGCTAGGATGTTTGGTATGCTCTTCTGGAGCTCTTAGGAAGCTCTTATGTAGCTATGCAGGAGGGGCAGAGGGATTATAAATGGCTTTGAGAAATACCAGGAGCCATATCTGCCTTGGCTTTGAAGGGATACAGAAACCATAGACCTAAAGATTCGTGTTTCTAGGAAGCTCCAGGAAGGGGAGGGGGTGAGGGGTGGCAGGTGACATGGACTAGAGCTGACAGATAATAACTCTGCATTTTACTGTCCCCTAAAAGCAGCCCCCTTGAAAAGACAGCTGATGTGATTAGAGCCAATTTGAGGGCTGTTCCTGCAACATGTGCAGCCCCTCCCTGGGCAGGGCATCTGGCTTCCCGGCCACTTTGCTCTGCCTCTCTACCAGCTGCATCCACCATCCTGGACCAAGATCCATTTAGAGGTGGATGCTGCCCACCAGGGGTGATCTAACCATCAGATTAGGTCCTTCAGCACAGGCCCCACCCTCAGGGAGCACTTGGCAGCTGAAGGACACTGCCTGCCTTCTATCACGCTGTCCCTCTTTTTTAAAAAAGCTGTTCCCTCCCCCTTTTTAAAGAAGATGTTCCTGTGGAAAGTGCAAGACTCTTTGGGTACAACACAGGGCCACTTTAGAGACTTCAGAGTTTATCTAGTCTACGCTAGCAGAAATACCTTAAGTTCAGGTTGTCATTTTCTAGACATTACCTAGAATGCTGTGATGATTCTAGCATACTAGAAGGTTCCTAGTATGGAAGATTCCAGATCATTTACCTCTGGGACTCTCCACATCCTTTTAGAAAAGCAAAGGGAGGGCCAGAAAGGAACTTTATAAATTATATTTTCTTTGTTTAGTGTGCACATGCGTGTCTCTGTGTATGTGTATATGTGTGTATGTGTGTTTGTGTGAACACATGTGGCATGACACAGCAGAAGTACAGAGATCAGAGGACAGCTTTCAGGAGTCTATTAATCCACTATATGAGGCTTAGGGACGGAACCCAGGTCACCAGGCTTGGCAGCACATGCCTTTACCTTCTGGCTCATCTGCCCAGCCATGCAAGGAGGTTCTAAGTTTTCGAAATGTGCCCTGCTCATACCAAGGCCTTGATCAAACTCACAGGAGACATCTTAGAACCAGAGTGTTCACAGAGCCCTGTAGCTCCGGGTGTCAAAGTGCAGTAGAGCCCACATTCCCATTACTAGCTGTAGTCTATCAGACTGGGATGGGAAAGAGTGGAATGGAGGCCAGACATGGGACTACACTAACTTGACCTTTAGTGCGCACAACCCACACAGTGCTAAGCTTCTGAGAACGAGAGCACCTTGTCAATGAAGACAGTCCCCAAAACTGTGGTAGAGGAGAGCGACCTCTCCTTCCTATCAGAGGTCAAGTGTCCAACAGAAATGGTCAGAATCATGTGGCTGTGGCTCTATTTCTTTGGGATATGCACAGCTCCAGCCTGATGCCGAGTAGGAAAAAGTCTGAGCTATGGAAGACAGGATATAAAGATTGAGTCTGTGGCACACAAGATCAATAGACCAAGCCTACCTAACCCTCTTCCATAATTCCCAGCCCGAGAAGGGATCTAGAAATCAACAGGAACCCAAAATTAGATGTCTTACTCTGAGGCTAATCAATTGACTCTCTGGCCCTCTCCTTCCTTCTCTTAGTCTGACAAAAGCCCGCTGTCAGAAGCCAGCCTCTGACCACCCTCCATGCATTAGCCCTACCTCTGTCACAGTGTTCTCAGACCATGGTGACTGTCTCCTTCCCAGACCTAAGTCCCCACTGTAGTTCTGTTCTTTGTCCAACTGAGAGGTGGTTGCTTTTCGTTCTACAACTCTCCCTCTACTGCAACTCAAACCAGCCGGAATGATTGGCTATCAGCCCAGGAGGCCAGGAGACCCTGCAAGTTACCCAGGAGCCTCCTGAGCTGTGGGATGTTGAAGAAGGGATTTGACTGGAAGTGAGATTATGCTGTACTAGACCAATGAGAACTCTGGGCAGTGTCTTTATTTAAAGGGGATGGACTGCTGTGGGGCCCTTCGGCTGTGGTGTCAGTCCTGTGTCACAACGCAGGAGGAGAGGTTTTGCTGATTTTTATGTCATATCAGATTACATAGTGGGATGGGACAGATTTTACAGGCTCAATCCTGTGTCAGTATGTAGCTGGTGTGTCAGCTGCCAGAATGCTCATGGATATGAGTGTCTAAAGGTTTCCCACCTTGTCCCTCTTTCCTGCTGAGTCTCCCTGGGGCAGGGCACAGGGAGGTGGGGCCCCTGTCTTTGGCAGGATTCAGTGGACCACACTACTGGTACTAATCACACTCAGTGGGGGCCTGCTCTGGCTTCTGCTTCTCCACGCTGCTTCCTCTGAGCGCTCGTGTCCTCTCTCTGATGCCGCTTCCTGACCTTGACTCTGACCAGTTGCCGCGGGGCTTTCCTTTGTGCTTGATCTAACCATGTGGTGGAACGATGGAAACGGAACATGGTTCTGTCAAGCACCGCGGAAAGCATCGCTCTCTCCTGCAGCATGGCCCGCCACCACCACCGCCGCCACCGCTGGACTCTTCTCTGCTCTGGATCACCGCACCTGCCAGACCCACTTCTCCCAGTCTTAATTCCCAGAGGGAAGGGGGTGGGAATCATGAAGGAGTCAGGTACATGGTAACAAGAGGTTTGAGAAACCCATGGGGGCCGTACTAAGAGTATCCACATAACTTAATGAAATGTAGTTACTATGCTTCAAGTCTGGTCTTGAGGGACCCCCCCCCCAGGAGTGACAGCTTAGGTTCCAACTTCCCATTTGAAGAAGACAAGTGCCCCCTAAGATATATACCCCATAGTTTCATGGGAGAATCCCAGTACAGGGACACCAAGTGGTAGCTAATGCAGAGGGTGAGTTGCTCGTGACTTTCACCACCACCTCTCTTGGTGTGCATTTCATTTGAAATGAATGTAGGAAGACAACCGGTAGAACAGAAATGGATCTGAGATGTTGAACTTGAAAGGGGGCTTCCTTCTGACCCCAGATCTCACTCCTCATGAATACTTAGACCTAGATCCTGGTGAACCCCAATATTCAACCCATTCTCTTAACTTTGGACCATAGTTGACATGGAGGTGTGGAACTTCTTCATCTGGTGTCATTTCAGAGGCCAGGAGAAGTCTGTGCAGACACGGGCTGTCTCTGACTACAGAGAGAGGGATCTTGGCGCCTTCTCTTTATCTTGTGTCTTGATAAATCCTGGGCCCAGTATAATTTGAAGACTTTGTTATCGCTTTTCTGCTGGAGTCTGCCTTACTCCAGGAGTAAAAGCTAAGATGGAAACACAGCCGTACTTAGCAGTAGGAGCCAGATTCTGTGCCCTCACCAAGCCGTGTGACTTGATTATCTCCTCTCTGAGTGTGACTCAGAGAGAGGCCCCAGACACTGATAAGTGATGGCTGTCCTCTTGGTCTCTCTGAACACTGGAATGTTATACTTACTATTGGTTGGTCTCTGGATGTTTGTTGTCATCACCCTTCATAATACTTTAGATCCCATTTTACAGGTAAGGGTATTGAGGCAGGATATTAACTAACTGGCCCAGGGTTATCTAGTTCCAACTGGCTGGGCTTTACCTCTGTGCTATTTAACTCTCCCTCATCTGGACACTCATTGCCTTGAAAAGAAAATTTTTCAAAACTTTGACTTGAACTGATAGGAAGTTGAAGGCATTTCTCACGCTGTATTTCCAGCCTCCATCTCTTATTAGAAATGACTGGAGTAAAAAGGAGAGAAAGCATTGTTCAAGTGCTTTTTTTTCTCTGACGGGATCATACAAAATCCCATGGATACAAACAACCCCTCCTACATAGAGAAGTGTCCTTCCCTTCCTTGCAGAGGGAACACTTTTAGCATTGTCCACATCATGCCAGGGCCAGGCCTTGGGGAATGGATCCACGATAGCACCCTTCCTTGGCATCTCCATGATGCTACGGCAGTGGGCTTGTGGCTGCACCATGGGCCTCTGCCTCTGCTTTCAGGCAGGTGACTAAGCTACAGGGACAGCTTCCTGCCCAAATGATAGCCAAACTCCTTCTAAAACAGCTAGTGTTTCTCAACCACAGGTGTCCGGTTCCCCCAGCCCGGCCTAGGAATGGGTGTCTATGTGTGCAATGTCCTTGTTTCTGTCATCACTCATGACTCGTCCCTCCACTTGTCCATGTTACTTCCTTCTCAAGCTGAGAAACCCTGACAGGCCTTTGAACACCCCCACCCCTGGTTCTTCCTCTCATCTCGGCCATCTTGGGGATGCTTGGGATAGAGGAGGAGAACTCTGGACACATTCATTGGCTACCCCGTCAACCACATAATAATGAACATGTGACTTCCAGTCCACATGCTAGCTGCCCAAGGTCTAGCATCCAATGTAGCCAGCCAACATCAGCAGCCACCCTATCTGTGTCCCTTACTACTTCTGACCTGAGACCAGCCAATCTGCTGTCCTGTCCACGACCTCATAGATGCTTCACACTTCCCTCCCAGAAGTAGATGTAGAACAGGGATATATAATAAAGTAAAAAGAAAAATAAAATCATTGCTGTGGATTTTAACCTTTCACCCCACCTCTGTCTATTAAAGTTTGTCTCTGATTATATACCGTGTGTTATTGTTCTGAGATGTCTGCAAATGGAGGGAAGAGGGCTACCAGGGCAGAGGCAGGCATCAGCCAGGTGACATGAGATCCTCTGAGGCCATCTCCAGCTGGTGTTGGACTTTATGGCCTGTCTTCAAATCCTGCAAGATCCCGCCCACCTGAGCTCACCCCAAAGAAAAAGAGCTGAAACCTGTTTCAGTTGGCTCTCTCCTCCAAAGTATTTCTGGCAGTGACAAATATGCATTGAGATTGAAATTGACTTTTAAAGCTCTGGAAAAGTTAAAAATACTTTTGGGTAGTTATGAGCATTAGGCATAACAAATGGCTCCGAGGAACCCTGGGTAGCTTCCGTAATGAAATATGAAGTGACGGAGGTGGCATTTCGTGCTGGCTCTGACTGGGAAATGAACTTTTTCCGTTATGTACATACGCCGTTATTAACATTTCTGGTTCCCACTCATATAAAATATCACTCTCCGACCCCCTCATTATTACAAACCAGGGCAATAACAAAAACAGCAGGGGAAAATGCTGGAGAGAACACATTAGTCCATCGAATCTAATTGCAAAATCATTTCATTAAAATGGGTCAGCGGCTCCACTGCAGAGGCCTGCCAGTTATAACCTAACGATACTACTGAGAGCGATTCCTGCTAACTACGGGCTGCTCTCACCTTGATTAAAACGAAAATGCATTTAATAGGCGGCCGTCCCCAGCCGGTGCACGTCTACAGGCTCACGGTGAAATGCAAACCGGGCTCCCTCCTGTCTCTCTGCCTTTGATCAGGAGTCAGAGTTCCTCTGTTTTGCAAGTAGCCCATTACAAACATGTTCTGAAGGAAACATAACCGTGCACATTCAAAATGTCCCCCTATAATGTCACCATGTACTGCCACCAATAGGCCCAGAATGGGTTTTCATCAGGCAGGAATTGCATATAACCTAGCTCTCTGGTACGTCCAAAGAGAAATGACGTAAGGTTGGGGGTTATTCAGTAGGGTGTGTTGTGTAGGCAAGGGGAAAGAGAGTAACAGAAAATGCTACACCAGGAGTCTGCTATGAAACTATGAAATACATGCATAGATTCTGTTCACACAAGCAAAGAGAGAAGAAGGAAGTGGGTGGGAAGATAGTTAGAGGAATAAAAGGGATACACCCAGACTTCTGACTCCATGTTCCTGACTTCATGAGAGCGAGCGCCCACTGATTGTGTTCCCGATCATCAGTGAGCACAGAAAGATATCTGAGAGTGGAGAATGCAAGAGCAAGGGAGGGGGCCATTTGCCTGCTCCCTTGTCATAGTTCACTGGAAGGGAGACCCAGGCTGCCTCCACCACCTCAGACTTTATGGCCGTTGCTAGAGACATGGGAGCAAAGCACACTGCAGCTTCCTAGCATTAGCCACATGGGTCATTGAAAGCTAGTCCTAGTGCATTTGCCATGTACTGAAAGCCCGGTCAACCTTAGGGTATTCATCAACAAAGTCAAGCGCTAACGTTGAGGGCTAAGAGGAATGACCCATTTGAAGTTTGGAGAGTAGCAGCAGGCTGCTGGTTCAGGTGCAGTAAATATCAGCTCTGATACCAGCCCCACTGGTGTTTCTGTGGCCACTAACTACCGGATGTTCCAATAAGATCTAGGGAGTAGAATCACATGCTCACACACTTTGCTTGTCTTTTTTCTGGAGACTGTGCATTACTTTCATCTTTACACAAACCCCTGGGAAACAGGAGCTCGGAAGCTGCAAGGGCTGGCCAAATGCTGCTACAACATGGGGGCTACTCACACTCCATGTTGTCATCCTGATGGTTCAAGCCACTCACCAAAAGCCTAGGGTCTGTGTCCTCAAACACCGCAGAGATGCACACGGGATCCTCAGGTGTGCATCCCACCTGTGCCATCCCACTTGTGCCTTACACAAACATGAACTGAGCTCACATTTATACCTAGCAATGTGCCAGTGGAATGTGAGTGTAAGAGAGTGAATAAGGCCAGCACCCACTGTCAACAAGGAGAGGCACACACCCCTCCCTATTGCCACCAACATAACTCATGTGCTCACAGAGGTCTGGCTGGCTGCCCCCCCAAGGGCATGCCTCAAAGACATCAGACTGCCAAACCTGTTGCCATTACTAGTGACCTTGAAAGGAATGAAATTTTGAAAATAAATAAATAAATAAATCTGAGCCTCAACTTCTAGATCATGGGAACTGGCCTTTGACTGGCATCAATGAGACCTTCCTTTCTATGGGGAAGTCAGATCTGACCCTGATGGGTTTTCATTTTCACTGTGTTTAAGAATTGGGTCTGTTGCTAATATATTTTGAATATCTGGCTTCTCTTAAAACAAAACAAAGAAGGCTCAGGTAACTGCAAGCCAAATTCCCAAAGCATCAGAGCTATGGCCTCCAAATACCGTAGTGCACAATCCATGTTGAAGTCAACGTCAAGCAAGACACCAGTTGTCATTTAACACCAAATGAGTATCTGGCTGCCTTTACTCATTGTTTGCAAGTTCCGGAAGGCCTCTAAGTGTGTGACCTTTATCTCGAACCTTACTCCTGCCCTCCAGTAGCCCCACAAAAGTCCGACTTTAATCTCCAGTCTGTAGATGGTGAGCATCCTGGAGCCAAGGACTCTCCTACAGTTGTAGGCTGGATTCTGTGTAGGTGTCTTGCAGTATTTCTCGGAACATTATTCATCTGTAACATTCAAAAGTTCTGAAAAGGTCCATAACCCACAAAAGCATAAGAGCCCACAGATCTGAAGCCAGGCTTCTTGGAAGGCAGCAAGTGATGAGTGACAAAAGTCCACATGGAAACAACATTGATGAGGGCTGTGGGGAGTGCTGCCAAGATGGCCGAATGGTTATCAGCTTCGCCTGCTATTTTACAACCTGCCATATAAGCAGTTCCTCCCAAGCCTGTGCACTACACACACACACACACACCACGCATATACCCATGCACACACATGCACGCGCACACACATTCCAACTCATCCCACTATCTCACTCCCCACAACTCTGGACCTTGTGCCTGAAAACCGAAATGATGATAATAATCCCCTCTTTGGCCCCATATAGGCTCTGAGGATTACCGCAACAGATTCAGCAGTGAGTGCTTCATGGACTTAGTATGCCCTGAGAAGTGCCGCTGTGAGGGCACCATTGTGGACTGCTCCAACCAGAAGCTAGCCCGCATCCCAAGCCACCTCCCTGAATATACCACTGACCTGTAAGTCCTACCCCTCTCTACCTCTCTTTATACATACCTAGTCACTTTCAGTTAAGCCAAGTAGGGTCTTCTGTGTACTTGGCTGAGAAATAAGACACCAGAAATATATCTGCAGGTTGCTTGCAAGTATAGACTATTCATTGGTTCTGTGAATGTTTTCTGGACACTCACGGTAAAACCAGGCATTGCCCCATGCTTACATTTCTACAGTGAACAAAGTACATGCACCTGCTGGCCCTTAGGAGCTTATAGAATCTCCAGGAAAATAGCTATTAAATAAAAATTATTATGAGCCAAAAATGCAACTAAGATAATTAAATGAATTTGAACCTCCTAATAGATCCTGGAAAGGGATGTTAATTTATCCAAAAACTGACAAAGATGTAAGGGCAATCTGGCTGCAACATATCACCCCACTGATCACCAGGGTTGATTCTACCAATATGGGCAGCTAGGTGGGTGTTCCTGCCCTCCTTCACTGTTCCATGTGCATGCCCCAGAAGTGCCACACTTGGCTACAAAGGATGACTTTCCCCAGTGGAACCTCCAGACAAGCTCTCAAGGCCCAAAGCAGGGTAAACTAAAACTTGAAGCACAGAAGAGGATAAGGAATGGCCTGTGGTGCTAAACAGACTGATACTTACCTCACCTCTAAGTTTAATTATCCCCTCACCTTAGTTTAATTATCCCCTCCGGCCCCCCTGAGACCATTTCTCCACCATGTAGGGGACAGAAACATGGTGTCTCCCTCTATACTTCAGAAGGTCTAGAAAGAAACACATCACAATATTCCTCCAGACTCTTGGCATAGAGTGAGCCCGGATAAACAGTGGCAGACTGGTAGTTAGTATTGCTTTCTTTGACTGCTCCAGTCACTGGAGGGCACCGCACAAGGCTCTGAGCACACAGGGATACTGAGTACAGAAACCTTGAGCTGACAGAAGTAGTCAGGAAAGAGCTGAGCAACTTGAGCTCAGGAGACCCTGAGGAAATTTCCCTGAGGTGTTTGGCTTGCCATTGGTACATCCATAAACGGAGGCAGATAGTGGCCTTTGTGTGTTTAAATAGTAATGTGTGTCTGTTCACAGCGTGCAAGAAGCCACTGTCCCATGAAGGAGGCATGGGAAGGCTAAGGCTTTGCCTCTTTTTGTCCTTTCCCATTCACCTCTCCTTGCCGAGCCCCTCGCCTCACACTGAAGTTTTTCAAGGTTCTCTTGAACTTTACTGACTGTGAAGTTCAGGCAGAGCTCATCGAAGGCCCTGTGAGACAGGAAGTGCCTCACCTCAGCTAAGCGTCTTCTGCCTTCCCACATAGGCGACTGAACGACAATGACATCTCTGTGCTGGAGGCCACTGGGATCTTCAAGAAGTTGCCTAACCTGAGGAAAATGTGAGTCAAGCTGGGGAACACAGTGGCCACCTCAGCTTTCCTGGCCTTTCACCTTTCACTCCTGCCCCTGAGCCTCCTCCTGCTGCCCCCTGCTGTGCCCTGGACTGGGAGTCAGGAACAGAACACAGACCAAAGCGAAGTTTGGCTGTCACTGAGTTGTCAAGTACAGGGAGATCGTATATCCCATGGCTTCTTGACTCCTGTCCTTGCCCCCTTTACTTGCCCTGCCCCCAGCCATGTTCAGCATGCATCTCAGGAGACTCTAGGAGGGATCTGGAGCGACTGAGTTGGGGTGTCAGGGACCCCACGATGTTTGGGCGAGGTCTGCATGGGAGAGATACAGCAGAAAGGAATCCCCAGCTGCTCCCAGTAGATTTGGTCACAGAGCTCCCTGGTCTGAATGTAGTCTCAACTTAGGCAAAGGACTCCCATGCTATTACTGGTTTCTGTAGTGCATGGCTGCTTGTCCCAACCCTCTCTATCCCTTCCTTGGAGTTTGGGCCTAGTCAAAAAGCCAACAAGAGGATATTGTCCCCTGTAATAGCCCTTGTCCTTGGCCGGGGCTGCAGTGCCGACTCAAGGATATCAACTTTAGTCTTCCTTCACCCATCTGGTGCCAGCTTCATGTTCCATGCTGGGTAAGCGAGGGAGATGTGCAGTGACCTCTCTAAAGCCACATATTGAATAAATGTCAAAACTGATTCTCTCAGACTTGGGTCCACCTCAGTCACAACAGTGGCTGGGCTTGTTTGCACCTCGCCTTCCTGAGTGCCTCTGCAGAGGGGCCAGCACAGAGAGCCAGCTGATTCCCAGGGAGCATTTGTTTTTAACCAGCCTTCCTACCCCACCCCCAGTCTCACATCTCCCAGCTTCACGGCCCTGTCAGTTTCCTCAACAAGGCAAATGGGGCTGGCCATTACTTACCAATTCTGTGTTTGCTAATTCCGTACCAGAACTCACATAACTCTGAAATCACAATTTTCCATGCTCTTTGTATCATCTATACACATGTGGTAGTGGAAAACCTGCTCACCCCAACACGTGGCCCTTAAGTGAGGCTGAACACAGCGATGCTCTCTCTGCCTGGTGGGTTCAGTTCTCACACTGTAAGCCAGTATCCACTTTGTGGTTTATCCAGCTGCATGTGCTTTGCAGTTTTGTGCTTTTCGGCTCCAACTTTGGCCCAAGCACAGTACTGGCACACTGTCTAGATCCTCGAAGCCTGAGCCGGCTGCACTGTGCCTCGCTGAGGGCACACATGCGGTAGAGAGGCTTCTCCCGTTTGTTCAGGCGTGAGCCCAGCACTACCGGCCTTGAGTGCCATGTTGATGAATCAATAGCATAGTAAATACAGTGTCTCTGAACAGAAGCACTCACAGAACAAGCTTATTATCGATCGGTTGATGGAAATGCCGTGACCACGGGCTCACAGGAGCCTCCATCCAGTTTCTCCAGGAGCAGCGATGCAGCGTGTGCTCATTCTGTGTTCCTGGCGATGTAGAATAGAACAATCATGAATCACGAGGACTGCCTGTAGCTCTTTATCTCCTGTTCATCATGCTTCTACCTACCAGTGCCCTGCAGACAAGGGAACAATGCCATCCAGGCCCTAGCTGTTCTCTCAGTGGCACGACTCATGCGTCCCTGTCAAACATAGCCACTGACTTAGCCACAGGCCCCTGTGAGTAAAGCTATGCCTGGAGCAGGAGATGAGCTCTCTGAGGGAACCGCTGAGACCAGGGCACATGTAAGGCTGATGAGGATTGTGGCCATTGCTGCTGCCTAGGTGCCCTTTGGTTTCAACCTGTAGACAGATGTGGAGGGGAATTTGCACATGGGGAAGGCTTGACATGGTGAGTCAAGCTGCTCAGGGCCCTTATTTGTCCAACAAACAGGATCCTAGGAGTCTTTGTTTCTGCCAAGAAAAAACACACCCCGACACACACTTTTAGTGGGAAGTCACACAGATTCTGTTCCCACTTGTGACAGGGATGTGAGCACAGAGAACTATTTCTATAGACGAAGGGAAACAAGAACACAGATATGTTACAGGAGAGAGCCAGTCCCCATCCCCAACCACATGCCAGAGATCTCAGCATGGTCAAATGCAAGCCCGGATCTCAACCGAAGGAAGAGATGCTGCTCGGTTAGCCCCTGTGTTTGCTATGCAGAAGTGAAGGTCGGGGATGCCAAATATCCCCCACTGCTCCAGACCAGCTACACATTCTGGTGTGGGGAGGAACTTGCAGGCTGACCTGCATTCACCTGGGCTCGGTGCCAGCACTTATCAGTACCAGCCAATTGGATAAGACCCCACAAGGTAAATCCAGCCCCAGACTACCATCTGCAGCCACTGTCAAGTGTAGTGAAGTTGTGCCCTGAACCAGTAACTGCCCTACTCCTGCACAGGGGTGGTTGTGTGTCAGAATATCTGACAATACAGTGCTTGAAGCCAATGGTGTGTCTGCCTCACACTTGGGCCAGGTCCCTAAGGCTGCCTGGTCCTGAATCTACTATTTCTGATTTGGGCTAAGGTGATTGGACTCTGTTGTGTTTTCTGCACCTCTGGCCCTTATACTCGGGCAGCCCCACACAGCTTTGCAAAGAGCATCACAGCTATGAGTGGTAGCATCCTTGACTGCATGCTTGAGGCCCTGAGTACCATCCCTGGCACACAGAGAGTGGGAAGGGCAAAAAGAGAAAAAGAGATTCTGTGTTCAAAAAGCTGTGACTCTCCTTGCAGTGGACTTCAGTCCAATTACAATGTGGAGGAGAGTTACCCATAGCCTGAAAACCAGCCAACCTCTAGCTGAAGTCATGGGTACACGGTTGGATTTGTTGCTAGTTGCTGTGATTTTAATAAGAATTAGTCCACCACTTCCAGAACTCAAAAGCTTCCACAGAAACCATAAAATCTTGCTTTCTGGTACCTCTGGGATTATCAAATACACAGGCAGAACTGGCTCCACTGACTCAGGCTGGCCCAGTAGAGTCGAGCAGAATAGCAGCTGCTCCTTTAAATGGACACAAGGTCCTGGTCACCTTTGCTTCCAAGAGACCTACTTCTCACCATCATTAAGTCACCCACTTAGAGACTGTAGTATGTAGTAGTCCCTCAAGGAGGGATAGGCTCATGGTCAGTGGACAAGACCTCCTCAACCTGGCACTGTGCCAGAACATATCAGACATAGCCAGTCATCCTTAGTTTCCAGAAAGGTTTACTTGACTCTCTGATACAGTCCTCCTGGGACCAGGCTCTGTCCCCACTGCTGAAGTAGCGGCCAACCCTGTAACCCCAGGGAGTAGTGCTTAGGAGAGCCTAGCTTCCTCTACCTGGACTCAGGCTCTCTGCAGGGAGTTGTACGGATCCCCTTGCATGCTTCTGTGTTCTTGGGGCACCATTATCTCACCATGTGCTTCAGGTGGGTCTCTTCTCTCTCTGGAGGCTTCAGCCCTGTGCTCTGTGAAAGGGTTGGTGTGGCTCCATATCCATCTAAGGCACTGGCATGAAGCATCCACCACCATCAAGAGGTCTGGGCATGTGGCCAGTATCTGCTAGTCCAGAGGTCAGACAACCTCACATGTTCAATGAACTGTTGACATCCTCAGGGTCTCCTATTCACAGTATAGGGCTCAGCTGTGTGCTGAGAGGTAGGCTTCCCTGAGCACCATCAAGCTTGGTTCCACCCACATAACTATGAGTGCCTTCAGACTGGACCACAGGGTAGTCCACAGAGAACCCCTACCTCTTGGTTCTGAAAGAACCTGAGAACTAGAATTCTATATGGCTGTCGCAGCATCTGTCTGTTACTGTCCTGGTATGTTCTCCCATGCTGTGGACACCAGGTTTTGGAGAGAAGGGCCTGATCTCCGAGCTGGGGCAGACTCAGGAGTGACAGCACTTGGGCTGGATGGGAACAGGGATGCCATGAGAAAACCAAGATCCCTGGGTTGAGGAGATGAGTCAGGTGGCAGGGTGCTTTTTGCACAGGTATGAGGATCTGAGTTGGGTCCTCAGCACCCATGTATATCTAAGGGAGCAGCAAGGCCTGTCATCCTAGGACTGAGGAAGAAGGGGTAGGAGGATACGTGGGGCTCACTGGCCAGTCAGTCTACTCAAATCAGGCAAGCTCCAGGTTCAGTGAGAAAACATGTCTCAGAAAACAAGGCAAAGAACAACTAAGAAAGATAGCTGATATTGACCTCTGGCCTCTGTGCATATATGTGCATACACACACACACACACACACACTTGAATTCTGTAACTCAGTAATACAAGAGAACAAGTCCTCACAGCTACTAAGAAATAATCATTTAGAAAAAGAGGGGGGTATCAATAAAACATCTCTTATGTCCCAGAAAACCTACCTTCAGAGCCCAGCTCTTTCAGCTGTGTAAATCTGGGGAAGTTATTCAATCTTCCCGGAACCCAGTGTCTTCACCCATAAGCGAGGACACTAGTATCTGGCTGCCTGGCGTTGCTTGAGGCTCTGATGAGGTTAAAGCGGTCTGACGCTCATGTGGGCCCTCCTAAATAAGTAGTAGGCAACAAGTACTATGGAAGAAGTATCCACTTGTAAGGGCCCTCTGCTGAGGGCGCTACATGTCCCCCATGTGTTCATCCCCATCGAAGAGGGGGCTACTTTATGTTCTTCTCTGGCTCTCTTCTGAGAATCACTGCATAGTAGGAGCCCCCAGGAAGATAAGTAAAGGTGACTCTTCCAGGGATTCAAAAAATGATTACACTGAGACCCTTTATTAAGTCCTGGGATATGTGTATTTCTCCACCTGCTGAGAGGAGTGACCTGCAAGGAGTGTGCACAGAAGCTGAGAATCTAGTGTCAGGGAGCTGGGGGCTGAGCTCCCTCCATCCACCTGATCCTTCTGCTTCTGCCCCCTCCTTCTAGAAACCTGAGCAATAATAGGATCAAGGAGGTGCGGGAGGGTGCCTTTGATGGAGCAGCAGGCGTGCAGGAGCTGATGCTGACGGGGAACCAGCTGGAGACCATGCACGGGCGCATGTTCCGGGGCCTCAGTGGCCTCAAGACACTGTGAGTACCCAGGCTTGGGCTCAGGTCCTGCCTCAGGATGTAGGGGGATGACAGATGGACCGTGCAAGCTGTGGACACCATCCTGGCCTATTGATTCCTTCCTCTCTACAGCATCAGAATTTTTCACCTTTAATGCAAAGAAGCCGACATGCTAAGCCCACCAGCATGCCCACACCTAATCACACCCCACTCAGAACTTTTCTAGTGCACACATGTACATATTCATTCCAAAAACATACTGAGGGGTGCACACAAATACTGATTCAACCATAACTAATATACACAGAGACACATGCTGTGCCCCTGAATACATCTGAAGGCAAGCATCTACGTTCCACGTTCAAGCACACGCACACACAGTGAACCCATATGTGGGTTCTCTTCCTCCTGGAAGTACACGTGCACACACACAACCACACCATCTGTACAAGAGCACGTGGATAGCTGTGGTTTGTGTTTATGGTCTGTCTTGATTACTCATCTGTTGCTGTGAAGCGACACCATGACCAAGGCAACTTACAAAAGAAGATGTTTGGCCAGGCGGTGGTGGCGCACGCCTTTAATCCCAGCACTTGGGAGGCAGAGGCAGGCGGATTTCTGAGTTCGAGGCCAGCCTGGTCTACAGAGTGAGTTTCAGGACAGCCAGGGCTATATACAGAGAAACCCTGTCTCAGAAAAACCAAAAAAAAAGAAGGTGTTTAACTGGGGCTTGCTTACAGTTTCAGAGGGTGAGTCCCATGACCATCATGGCTGGGTGGCAGCCAGCCAGGCAGGCATGGAACAGTAGCTGAGAGCTTACATCTGACCCACAAGTTCGAGGCAGAAGAGAGAGGCAGAGAGAGCCGACTGGAATGATAGGAGCTTTTGAAACCTCAAGGCCCACCTCCAGTGACACACCCCCTCCAACAAGGCCACGCCTCCTAATCCTTCCCAAACAGTTCCACCAGCTAGAGACCAAGCAGTCAAGTATATGAGCCTATGGGATCGTTCTCATTCTATCCACCACACAGTGTGTGAAATACATCCTCATATACATTTGCATGTGTCCCAGTGAGGGTTCAGGCCCTGCTCATCACCAGTCAAACCTGAGCAATGACTAGCGGAGCCTCTTGAGAGGCAAGAGCTCTACCCATGACTCTCTCCCATGCTTTCCCAGGATGTTGAGGAGCAACCTCATCAGCTGTGTAAGCAACGACACCTTCGCTGGCCTAAGCTCTGTGAGACTGCTGTCTCTCTATGACAATCGGATCACCACCATCACCCCTGGAGCCTTCACCACACTTGTCTCCCTGTCCACCATGTGAGTTCTCCCGGGCACGCTGCCACTCCCTCTGGGCCCCTCTCTGCAGAATTCCCTGACATCCCAGCTTCCCACTGACCATGGCCAAGGTCACCTGCTCATCTGTCTATTTGATAAGCATTTGTCAGGCTCTCTCTATATTTGAGATACCATCTAAGCACTAAGGATTACAGACTGGCTCCTCCTCCCTGGGGCTGGCTGCATAATGAATTGTCCCCATGATGAGAAAGGCCAAAGCAAGCTTTGTGAAGAAGCATTAGGGAAGACTAGTTTGTTGACGAAAGTGAGAAATGTATTTCCTATAGTAGTTAAGGCCACGCGAAGGCCCCGTGGTTGGTTGGAGCAGAGTAAATATGCAAAGCCTAGTAAGGCCATTGTACTGAGTGTGCAGGGATATGGGATAGAACAGGACTGGAGAGGAGGCCAGAGTCAAACTGCATGGCCATTGGGGGCTGCTTTAGTTTCAAAGCTCACCAAGAACACGGAAACTTAGACTCACCATAGACTCACCATGTGAACTGCAGCATGTTTTAAAAGGTGACCCTGACCATGCTGGTTCTCGTCAGAGGCAGAGTTAGAGCCACCTGTAAATGAGAAAGAGGGAATTCCTGCCATTAGGAAGCGGTGACAGAGGATAGTGATTATGACTGTAAAGGCTGTGTTTCCCAGGCCCAGACTCTAGCATCCTCTCATCAGCTAGGGACTGTTTCTACATCTATGCGCCAGGGTCTCCCCCAGCACCTCCCACGATGGTCCTGCTGAAGGTATGAACTGCACAGCCAGGCCTAAGGACAGAGTCCCCAGGCTTTGGTCACTTTAGAGTTGCTGCTGCCTTCTTCCTCAGCTGTCCTCAGCAAGTGCTTACCTGTCCCATTTCCTTTCCCCCAAATTGACAAAACAAAGGAGCGGCTTTCCCACCCATTGTCTCCTTCCCATTTGGAATAGAAGTGGAGTTGTGGGATGGCCTGGGGACAACAGTCTAGTTTCTCCCAGCAGTGTGCCTCCCCCTCCCCAGCCCTGCCCCTCACACTTCCCACCCTTACACACCCTGCCTGAGGCTTTCATGCTGGCATCTCCTAGATTCTACAGCCTTGGAAGCCCCTTCTCCCCTCTCCTCTCCCTCCTTTGTCCATGTGGCCTGTCCCTCCCCTACTCTACCCTCTGCCTCCGTGGCATGATGGAAGTGTCCCAAGCCTGGGCCTAACACTCAGAGTGACTGCTGCCACTGTTATCCCCTACCCCATCTGTCCATCATGGTACTGCAAGGACAGGGACAAAGTACCTGTGGTATGCAGGCGAGCTTCTGGATATGCAGAGGCCAGCAGAGATGCCAGCCTCAGTCAGTGGGCAGCTGCTCACAGGCACAGACCTAGCCTTGGTACTGACAACACCGAAAGAAAGTGAAAGACACGAGTCAGAAAAAGGAATGGTCTCAGCTGCCCCCAGTCAGGAGAACTGACACCCCAGCCCCACAGACTGCAGGCATTTCTGTTGGGAAAGCAGGTATAGACACTGCTGTAGAGTATAGGAAATTATCCTCAGAGGATTGACCAGCTTTGCCCAACTGAGGCTGGGTAGACAGAGGAGGCCAAAGCTGGAAGTCATAACACACCCATCAAGATGAGCTGTGGTTGCATCCCCCATAGTTTAGAGGAAAATTCTGCATCCCTACCCCCTCACCCTGGGAAGGGATGCTAAGACCCATCACCTCCTAAAGAGAGCAAGCCTGGGGTACAGGAGTAGGTCAGGGTGGACAATAACCAGTCAGAGGCTCTCTCTCTGTCCCTCAGAAACCTCCTGTCTAACCCTTTCAACTGCAACTGTCACATGGCCTGGCTCGGCCGCTGGCTGAGGAAGCGCCGCGTGGTCAGCGGGAACCCCAGATGCCAGAAGCCCTTTTTCCTCAAGGAGATTCCTATCCAAGACGTGGCCATCCAGGACTTTACCTGCGACGGTAAGCAGGAGTGAATCGGGAAGGCAAGGTGGGCTGCTGAGACCTCTGCGTCCACTCTGCCCTCCTGGAACACAGACTCTGAGGAACTCTGCTCCAAAGGCCTCTGAGAGTCTCCTGCTAGCCCTCAAGGCTTGTTTTTCAGACTAAGAAACAATGTCTCTTCCTGAAGTTCCTTTACTTTCCTCACTTGTACGTCTGTACTGACTTTATTAAAACAAGATGTTTGTTCATCCAGGACACTGTCCTCTGTATGAATGCCGCTGTACCCAATACTTACCCGCCATGTCTGCTGTGAGTTTGGGGCTGCTTAGATGGTATGCCCCTCTGTACACAGCTTACACAACTGGACATGGAAGTCTCCCTGTCTGTGTTACGGTGAAAGTCAGAGAATGTACTTATGGGAAACAGACTTCAAGAAAATTCCTTTTGACTAAGAGATATGAACCCACAAATCTGAGGCTTTGGGGCTCAGGACCCCAGAAGGCATATTTGATTTTGTAGCTTGTATAGTTCTTTACTTGGTGGATTTCTGGATTACCTTAGGACAGATGTATTCATTTGCAGATTAATTGAGGTGCATTGTATTGAGACTGCTGACATGCTCATCACCCTATAGGGTTGACTATATAGTGGTCAGTGGAGAGGAGAAGGTAGAAAGGGGAGGGGAAAGGCCAGGCTCTGCCTGCCTAGCCTCTCCTTTCAGAGCCGTGGCTTATTCCTCATATGACAGACAGGATCCCCTTCCCCATTATGTGGCTGTGGGTCTGGGTTAGCAGCTTGACTGGTCTTCATTTCACTAGGAGTGCATTAAACAGCAGTGTTCCATCCCACTCTCCCAGGCACGTATCCTTTGCCTCTGGCAGGGGAAGAAACCAGTAGCTACCTTTAGTCCTAGCTTTGGCTCCCTGCTGGTGCTAGGTAGAGCTGGGCTCTTGCTGGAAACAGTCTGGCCCTGTCATCTAGCTTTGCCTGGCTGCTCTCCTGGTAGGGCTTATCTTCCGGGATGCTCACCCTGTCTGGGTCCCCCCACAGGCAATGAAGAGAGCAGCTGCCAGCTGAGTCCACGCTGCCCCGAGCAGTGTACCTGTTTGGAAACAGTGGTGCGATGCAGCAACAGGGGTCTCCGCGCCCTCCCCAAAGGCATGCCAAAGGATGTGACTGAACTGTAAGTATCCCCCAGCCCATGCAGCCTCACCAACAGGACCTTTCCCGCTGTACCCCAGCATCTCTCGTAAGGGAGTGGGGGCATGCCTGGCTTCCCTGGAAGCCAGCAGAGCTTTTCCCAGATGGTGGTTGAGAGCTTTGATTGGTGTTAGGAGGCTGGGGCAGTATTAAAGGGGAAACAGGAGGCCAACTCCAACCACTTGGTAAGAGAGGCAGGCACGAGTCTGCTCTCCCTATAGACAACCCAAAGTACAAGAGGACTTCTACATTTCCTGCACTGTTCAAAAACCTGTGTGGAGCCGGGCGGTGGTGGCGCATGCCTTTAATCCCAGCACTTAGGAGGCAGAGGCAGGCGGATCTCTGAGTTCGAGAGTTCGAGGCTAGTCTGGTCTACAGAGTGAGTACCAGGATAGCCAGGGCTACACAGAGAAACCCTGTCTCGAAAAAAAACAAACAAACAAAAAAAAAAAAACCCTGTGTGGATCCTGCCTTTCTAGATCCTGCAAAGCCTCTGTGCGACCCTTGTAATAGCACAGGGTATTATGAGAGCATCTTTTGGTGCATTGGCGAACATGCTTTTACAATATGATTCCATTCCTCCTTCAAGCAACTCTGTCAAGCAGGTGATTTGTCAGCGCTGAGTCACACTGGTTTCTAGAACATCTTCCCTGCGCAGGTTCCTCACGGTCATTCCCCAGAAGCTCCAAGTTAAATGAAACAGGTGCCAGGTTCTCCTTGGAGGGCTCACAGTACTGGATGCAGCACCCTGTCTGGCTCAGTAGTAGACAGGCCTAGCTCTCCGTCAGCCATGGGTGCTTGCCGCCTGGTACAGAACCTCCCAGGCTTACACTGCTTGTCCATGTTCTGTCACACTGCCCTCTACCGTGCTGTCATTCTTTATCCTATCACATGGGGATGAGGTTCCTCATATGTCAGCCTTGCGGCCAACATGGAGAGATGACCCTCAGTGAAATAGGTGGAGCCAACACTAACGAGGCTCATGGTCTCTCTGAGGAAAGTAGACATTTGTTCTGCCATCTCTGGAGCTCATATGGCTTCATGAAAGGTGTGAGATGAGGATGTGAAAGAGAGGCTTACTTGGGGGTGACTGGCACCAGGTTCTGCCTCTTCCCTGTGGGGTGTCTGGATATCACCAGTACCAGTGCAGAGAAGAGAGGGCAAACTCCAGAAAAGGTGGAGTTCCAGTCCGCCTCTCCCTCCGGGGCATCAGACACCACTATCCACTAGGTCAGAGGTGAGAAGCAGAGTCCAGTACCAGCAGGACCCTGGTTTGGTTAGGAGCAAGGTGGAAAGAGAGAAGGCCTTCTCTGAGAATCTTAGTGTTACAGCTCTTTTAAGCTAATGCCTTATCCTCTCCGCTGATCTTTACTGAAGCAGCTCGCTAAGATGATCTTAGCTTGTTCATATTTATTTATTGAGGGTGGCTTTGAACACATACACTTTATTGGGGATGAACCAAAGGTTATATGGTTGGGGGGGGGAGGAGGGTGTGAGAATATCCAGGAAGGGAGGAGGTCATTGGCTGAAGACTAAGGCTACTGAGATGTCTCATTTGCATGCGGAAGAATTTGAGGTACTGGCTGCCTGTGACTACATGGTTGGGGGTCACCTGCCATGGTCCAAGTGCCCTACAGCACCGAGGGGCCAGGCAGGAACAGGGGAAGGAGTGGAATAGGCTGAATTAGCTACACAAGTGGAGATCCTGTTATGGGAACTGGAAGAGCCAGATGGGGGGACTGACAGTAGGTCCGGGTGTCCCAGCGGCAAGACTCACACTGCCACCCACACCCACACTGTCATACTTGTGTGTCAGAGCTCCCTCCCATACCCTAGGCCCACTCCCTCTTCTGGGGCCACCTGGACGTGAATCCTCAGACATAAGTAACAGAATGTGACGTGACCCAGATCCCCCCTGGGGAATCTCCATCACATCCCAGGCCAGTATCTCTTAGCTGGGCTGTGAGCACACCAGCCTCTTAGAATGCAAGCAGGTCTTAGGTGAGACTGTCACTTCTGGCATTCCTGATTCTCAGAGAGGTTGTCATGGGGACTGGCAGCCCCAGGGAAGGAAAGGAGGTCTGACAGTCACTAAAAGTTCCTGTCAGCATGGGTATGGACTGAAGCAGAGCCCCCGAAAGTCTGTGTGAGCATGTTGTGATCAGTTCCCAAGCATAGTAGCTGCAGAAAATGGCCATGGGACGTGCTCCTTCCCAGCCAAACAGGTGCCACAAGCAAGATGTCAAAATGCAGGAACGCCATGAGGACAGCTCAGGAGTGCTTGTCTCTAAGGTTCAGGACATAGAGACTGAAATAGCAAAAAATAATTGGGGCTCTGTGCCTTTAGAGACCCTCTGATTCTCCTCAGTGGAAGAGATGATGTCTCTCCCACCCAAGCCTGGCTTCTGGTGCACTCCACGGAGCTCAGTTCTGACACTGAACCATCTAGACAACAGTGGAGGAAGGGGAAGGAGGAAAAACAAGTGTTCAAGAAAGTTAGAGCCAGGAGGCCTGGCACACTGCACTGTAAGGCCCCAACTTGGGAGCTTTTTGTGCTTTTTCAGGACTCTAAGAACATGTGCTTGTCAGAGATACTATTAATGTTTGACAGGACACACTGGAAATTAACACAGACCATTTTGAAATGCCTGTTTCTTATTCCACCTAAAAATCACTTTCTAGCCACCACATATTTATGTAAGAAGTGTGTTGTTGAGACAAACCAGAGATTGAAGTGCCAAGGGTGATGCTGTGTAGTTGTTTGTTTGTTTGTTTGTTTGTTTTTCCAAATCTTTAATGTCTGGCTTCGTGGCGACTCTGGTTTCTGTTCTGCACCCCCTGTGTTGTGATAGTTTTCAGGGTGAAGTTGAAAGAGAAGGCCAGCTTCACACTGACATGGGATTGGAGTAGGGGGAGCATTTTAACGGTCCCTTCCAATACTGGCAGATTTTTTATCATTGATCATACACCACAGCCAGTGGGATCTTCTGAAAGGATCGCTGCCGTGGGGAACCTGCATTTCTATCTATGGACTTCTTCTCCTACCCTAATCCACACTGGTCTGTCTTGGACTTTGAGTAGTACTGTGCCCCAGCTGGGATCTCCAACATCACCTACTGGGCACTTAGAAGAGCCCACAGAGTTATGCAGGTCTTCCAGGTAGCAACACAGTCCGTTCTCCAGGAGATAAAACTCCACGTCACTGACCTGACCACCTGTCCATTTCCCATCAGGAAAGTCTTCAGTGAGAGAGCTGTTGAGCCGAATCCAGGTTTTCAAAAATGTTAGTACTCATGTGAAAAGTCCAGTTCTGTCGCTGGCAGCAAATACCATCTGGGCTTTGCCCTGTGTCCACTGCTTTTCTTCATTTTCAGAAACTGTCCAGTCAATGCCCCTGTCTGTGAAAACCCTGCCAGTCATTCTTTTAAGTAGCAACAGTGTTTCCCGGGAGAATTCCAAAGCAGCTACTTCAAGCAGCAAAGCAGTAGGATTTCACTGAGCATGTCACAGGCTGGAGAAATGCTGTGTGTGCACTGTTCATTTTGTTACACAGTTGCCAAAGAATGAGTGCTCAGGGGTCCAGCATTGATACTGTTGATAGCTTTTACTGCCTTGTCAAGGGTAGTTCTTAAGTGCAGCTTGCTTTGTTATTTTATGTGCAAATGTGCACATAAGGGACAACCCAGTTACTTAGGCCCAAGTGCTCTGCCTTAAATGTCCCACACCATTGTCCTCTGTTGGTTTCGTGCCACCAGGGCAAATGTGAGCTGAGTACCAAGGGAGAATGTTGGCCTTTTGCTTAAAGATTCTAGTTTATGTTTAATGACATGCATATGTGGGTTGGGCTGTGTGTGCACACAGATACCCATAGAGATCGTGACAAGACAAGAGTGTCAGATGCCCTGGAGCTGAAATGACAGGCAGCTCTGAGTGAGGCACTCAGTGTGAGTGCTGGGAACTAGCCTTGGGAAAAGTAGTACACTCTCATAAGCACTGAGTCATCTCTCCCGCAGTAAAAATGAACAAACAGAAACACTGAATGGAAAGAGTATTGTCTTAGTTAGAGTTTCTATTGCTGCAATGAAACACCATGACCAAAAAAGCAAGTTGAGGGGGAAAAGGGTTCATTTGGCTTACACTTCCATATCACGGTTCATCATCAAAGGAAGTCAGGACAGGAACTCAGACAGGGCAGGAACCAGACAGTAGCTTGACACAGAGGAAATGGTTGGGTGCTGTTTACTGGCTTGCTCCTCATGGCTTGTTCAGCCTGCTTTCTTATAGAATCCAGGACCACAGCCCAGGGATGGCCTCACCCACAATGGGGCTGCAGCCCCTCCCACCCTTCAAATCTCCGCCCCATGTCAGTCACTAATTAAGGAAATGCCTTACAGAGACTTGCCTACAACCCAATCTTATGGAGACATTTTCTTAACTGTGGTTCCCTTCTGTCTGTTGATTTTGGTCGTGTTAAGTTGACATAAAACTATGCAGTACACCCTGATACAAGGAGAGCCTGAGGGTACCACAAGCTGGTTGCAGGGTTCATCCTAGCTTTGGAGAGGGGCTACCTCTGAGTGCAGTAGCACTAAAGATTCCTAGTGTGGACCTGGCCCAGAGAACCCTCTGCAGATAACATTAGGAGAGGATGCCTGCCATTGCTCTCAGGATGTTGAGGGGACTGAGGAGAATTAATCCCTAGTAGAGCTGGGTCTCTCCTCAATACTGGGAAAGCACACCTAGCAAGAAGTGAGGATTAAGACTGAGAACTGGATTCTCCTTTGCTTGTTCACGAATTTACTCAGGAGATGCTGCCATTGGACTTGGAGTAGAACAATCAGGGTCACAGTCTTATTTCTACCCTTGGAGACTTAGAACAGAGAGAACTCAGTGTGGAAACCAACCGGTATCAAGTCACATTTCCCAGGAATATTAGGGAAGAAAGCCCCTGCCTGGAGAAGACCCTCCTGGTAGAAAGGTCTT